TGTCTCTTATACACATCTAGATGTGTATAAGAGACAGCCTCCCCCTCCTCCCCCTCCAACAATAACACGGCGTTGTTGCATGCCCTGGTCCTCCCTCGCTCCTCCTCCCCCTCACCAAGTTGGCCTTCTCTGCGTGGTGGGCATTTCCCAAAGCCGCGTTCTTCTTCGCCGCCATCATCTTCTTCTTCGCCTCTATTCGCTCCTTCTTCTCGCGCTGCTTCTTCGCCTGCAGCAGGCAGTAGAGGGGGGGGGGGGTACGCAAAATACAAATTGTAGCATTTTGATAGAAGCAATAACGTTACGTTCAAGGGAAACGAACGGCATCTTGTGCTTACTGTTACGGATGACAGGTCCCACACTCGATTTCTTTTTTTCTGGCGCTTTCATTTTAGATACAACAAAAAGAGGGGGAGGGGGGGTATGCACCTTAAGCTCTCTCGCGGTGTTCTCATGCTGCGCCCGATCAAAGCGCTTGAGGAACTCCAGCAACTCCCGCATGAAGTCGTCGATGCCCGTCTTTTTGGGGTCCTCCGAGAAGGACTTGATGAGGTCCGTCGCCGCGGCGTCCACGGCCGTGAATCTGTGGATCATCGCCCATCATTGGTGATGTTGTTCCAACCAATGGGAGGCAAGGAATGAGAAAGAAGGGTCCGTATCAACCGAGCGCGCAGACCACAACTTGGTAGAGAAATCTGATACAAAAGTCACAACAAGCCGATAGAAGGAATGAGAAGAGACGATGCCGGATGTGTTCTTCCAACGAACGGGAGGCGAGAGGGAATAGAGGAGTTGGTATCAACCAAGTGCGCATACCATGACTCCTACTTCTTGGTAGAGAAGTCGGATGCAAAAAGCCACGAACGTCTGTGGAAGGAATAAGGCGATGACGGATGAGCCGAAACGACCAAAAACACGACAAACGCGGGATATCAACGACTTATTCGATTGTGCGTCATCTACAGCTGACGTGTTGCAGTCTAACTTGGCAGGCGGTAACACGGTTCATGCAATGATGAGAGAAATGGGCGGCGGCGGATACTCGTCAGGAGGTAGGCATGGNAAAAAACGCGTCCATGCCAGTTGGACTGGTATGTTGAAAGGGTACTGACGTGAGACCGGAACGGTTGCTGTTGCGGACAGCACAATAAAAACAAATATATTTCTGCATTGTTTTTTCTACACGGAGATAGAAAGGGAGAGAGACACACACACACACACACAACACACACGGGTAGAAACGTACCCTTTGACCAAATATGTTTGTGTTTTTCATCCCGCTACAAGACTAGCAACGTCTTTTCATTGGTCAGCCGGCTAGCGCGGTCGATGATATCTAAGACCACACACACGCACGCGGGCACGCACAACAACACACCTGGTTTTGAGCGCCGCCGCCTCCTTTTCAGCCTCCTCTAAGAACGGTTTCATCACCGGGACGAACCTGTCCCCGGTAGGGCCGGGCATCTTCTCCGCCATGCCAAGCTGCACGAGAGAGAGAAAGGGAATGCCAGCCAATATCATAAACGAGAGAACCAGCAATAAAAAACACAAAAAACGGAGAAAAAAAAAAGGTCGGGCGTGTTGCATCTTTGTGAAGGTGTCCATTTTCGAGAAGGGGAAGGGGGGGGGGGCGGAGGGCTCAGCTAGGAACTAGTTCCAAGATGCAAAGAAGAAAGGACAGCCGTGAGTCAAGTACAAAAAAAAAAAACGCAGCTATCTAAGAAAATGCAAGTAGTGCCAACAACAACAACCGCCAGCAACAGACATCAACAGCAACACCAGCAAAGAAAAAGCGTCGACACTGACATCAAGGTCAGAGAAACAACAAGCGACAGCAGACAGAGTCGACTCGACCTGCGCGGTGAGCTGCTTGACCTGCCCGTTCAGCGTGGTCCAGTCGGCGTTCCACTGCGACATGGGCGTTTTCGTCGCCTATGAAACGCGTGGGGAGGGGGGGGGGGGCAC